ATATAGTGATGATATGTATATTGTTGTTGACCGTATATAGTGATGATATGTATATTGTTGTTGACCGTATATAGTGATGATATGTATATTGCTGTTGACCGTATATAGTGATGATATGTATATTGTTGTTGACCGTATATAGTGATGATATATATATTGTTATTGACCTTATATAGTGATGATGTGTATATTTACAGACAGGCGACTTCATGGAAGGCCTTCCCTATAACCTCATGACGGGAACCAGGGTCACTGTCCTCGGTCGGTGTACGGTCGCAGACATGTAAGCATTGTATTCTTTCGTGAATAATTATTCCCATCATCTTCTTACACTGAATACTGTCATAAGCAAAATAACACCAGGTTAATGGGTTATAACTGGGAGGTTAGTTTGAACAATATCTGACTAAATTAATTGTTTTCATATGTTAATGAGACAAGAAAACGACGTTCTTTCAAGGCGACGTTGCAGTGTGGGTTCTCGTACCTTCATCACGTGAGCGATGCTCTAAATGTCAGTACCATTCTAAAACAGGTGATTTATAAGACAATGCATCTTTACTAAAGCATCTCGTAGATTTTATTTCAGATATTATCAAACAGCGCTGCTTAGTGAACACCTGATACAAGGTATTTGCAGGAAAGGAAACCCCCGACTGTCACCCAGCGTTATAATTTAAGGTTCACTGTCGCCTTCGTGGATCTGGCAACAGACAGGAAGGTGCTAGCCATGGAAGTGGACATGTCCACCAGCACCGTCCGCAGATACCACGAGGTGGCCGGAATGGCGCCTGACGACACCTGGAGTACTTTCCCCTTCACGGGGGGACAGAGGTTCAACATCACACTCAGCGTGCTTGTTAGCAACATCCAGGTGAGTGAGTGAGTGAGTCTGGTTACTACCATATCATACGGCGTGTAAGCGTCAGCTGGGGGAAACCACTCGAAGTAATGGTGTTCACCGCTTGGGTGAGTGAGTGAATGTAAGTTTCTGCCGTTGATAGCAATAACCGGGCAATATCCCGGCGGGGACATCGGAAACGGGCTACCACTAAGGTGAAAACAGCGATGTTGATAAGCATAAATACATAATCAAGGTGAAACTAGGCATCCTACCCATGATTATAGTTCCTGGCACGTCAAAGGGACACAACTCTGTACAGATTACTACATATAAGCTGATGGATTCGGACAATGGATTACACAAATTGGTGTTCACATTGAGATTACCGAAATAAATATATGACACTGTTTGACTGACTGAAGATATTAGGGGTGTGTCATGTGAAAACCGATTTTGCATTATTCTTTACAAAAGGACATAGCTCATGTACGCAATGATTAAATTCTACATTTATATGAAAATACCATATCGACATTTCACTCCTGTAAGATAGGCCTTTATGCCCGAACTACCTTCTGTCTGTCGATCTGATTGGTAACGGCCGTGATTACTTTCAATCTCGTTGATTCACACTGACCAGTCCTACCTTCTGTCTCTGACATTGTGGTTTTCAGACTGGTATCTATGACAACATCACTAAGAATATGCATACATGAAGAGAGAATTTCGCTTTTCTTTTCATGTTTATGTCATCGTATGACCTGAAAAACATTTTCAATAGGTAATGCGCCATTCATGTAAGAATGAATTTATCGATGATGTGTGAACGTTATAATATATTACGTGATGATATTCTGCACTTGGGGCGGTGGGGTAGCCTTATGATTAAAGCGTTGGCTAAGACCGACAATCTCCACATTGGCACAATGTTTGAAGACATTTCTGAGATAAAGTGATGTTGCTGGAACAGCTAAAAGCGGCGAAAAAGCATCCATGCATGTGTATTTCCCATTATGTTATTGTATATGTTCCCTGCATATCGTATGTCCGCGGCATATCATCTGTCCTGCCAGGTTATTAAGGGTGTTGACAGGCCTTTTTGCACTGGCGATGACTGTCGTTTTCTATGACTTAGTGGTTTGTAGCTTAACGGTACAAACAGCAATATGCAAGCTTTATGACGGTAGCTGGTAAATATACGAATCTAGACCAGACAATCCCGTGATCGATACCTTGAGGAACTCTCCTCGACGTCGGGGCACGATGACTCGCAATCAACTATGTCACCGAGACTGACAATCAGTTGTAACCCAAACCCCACGGGATCTGTTGATGTATGTATCATATGGCACATCAGACACCAGTTTAGTACAAGCTTCCCTGTGGCTGTTCCAGATACTGGTGGACGACCAAGAGATGAACCTGTGTAAATACAGCACCCAGGCTCTCAGTCTCACCAGTCACATGACCATCCACGGAGGGATAACAGTGGAACAGGTGGACCTTATCTACCCCTAACTGTGTTACAGACTCTCACAGTAGCTCTCCTTTCATCATCGGCTGCCCAGGGTGTTTTATTCCAGATATCTCTCGTACAGTGAACACTCTAAGTAAAGTACAGCGCTAATGGTTAGAGTTAAGCTTATGTTACATGCCGAGGCTAGGTGATGTATGACCATGTTCCGCAAATCACACTCCTGCTTTTCTGAGACTTCAGCGTTGGGTAGCCTACTGGTTAAAGCGTTCGCTAGTCACGCTGAAGACCCGGGTTCGATTCCCTACATGGGTACAAAGCCCAAAGTCCTCCGCCGTACTATTGCTGGAATATTTCTAAAAGAGGCGTAAAATTTAACTCACTCACTCAGACTTCGACTCTGCCCCTACACGAAAACACATATCACATGTGGTGCCTCCCACCTCTTCTTCATCGTCACCATCATCATCATCATGACTACAAATAGCTATCCAATAAAATTGCGCTCACGAACGAGGGAAATCCGATGCTAGGGTAGAGATTGGGTGGACGTGGTGGCGTAATGAAGAAGCCACATATGGATATTCATCACAATAGAAATTAGGAGATAAACATCATGTGTTGGCGAATTTCCGGGTGTTATTGAGTATTTGAAGCACGGGAATTCATTTGGAACCGACGGCGTCTGCGACGCACAGAATGCATGTACAGTACAACCAGAAATTATTGAGAATTTAAAGATTGTAATATTGTTTAATTTTTTCACTCATTACTCACGCATTAAATGTGAATATTAGCAGAACATAACTCCATATTCAAAGACAGGTGAACAGTTAGTATTTTGTCAAGTCACCATGGGCAGCAATGCAGGCTTCAATGCGGCGGGGCATACTACTGATCAAAGAAGTTAGAAAGTCGTGGTCCATGCTGTCCCAATAACGGACCAACTCTTCTTTCATTTCAGCAATATTTGTCAGTTTTCTTATTGACACTTTCCTTCATAAGTCCCAAAACATTTTCTATTGGATTTAGGCCAGGGCTAATGGATGCCTGTTCTACTTGAAATCACTTTAGCTGATCTGATGTCCTTGTCATAATACTCTAAAATCAACTTCTTCTCTAAATCATCCATACTGAGGATCACTGAAAATGTCGTCTGCTAGCAAGTAAACAAAGGGGGATAACTCTTCACAAACTAATGAAAAAGGATTAACGGAGTTGTCTCTCTTCAATGAAACCAAGCACTTGATAGCTGGTCAAGGTTGTTTATACTAGAAATCCAATTAAACATATTCCTAAAATTCTCAATAATTTCTGGTCATACTGTATGTGTGCAGGGGGAATTAACAGGTCCTGCAATACTCATGAGGAATTTCACTTTCTGTGAGATCCTAGGGATAATCGTATGGGGCACCTTTATAAGGGTTCGTGGCCTCAAAGAGATTGCTTCGTGTTAGGAGTGAGTGGGTGAGTTAGGTTTACCGCTATTTCGAACGGTATTTCAGTTATATTACGGCGTGTCATCTTGACGACGGCCTTAGATGTTCACTTCTATCGCGAAATCCACGAGTACGGGATAGGGGATTCGAACCCACGATGCATCTCAGCACAGCGTCAGAGACGACTGGGCCTTCTTTCAACCTCTTGTGTAAGGTCAGATTTCAGCAAATAGTCACTCTGGAGATATATAACAGCAAGACAGCACTGTATCCATTTAAGAGAAGTCATTTCGAGAATCTGGCAGGGATGAAGGTAATTGTGAGTTGAAATGGGGTTTTGAATCTCATTAAAGATTATTGTTCTTATATTTATCAATTATTACGTCGAAGCACATTTTCTATTTGATTTCTTACTTGTGCCAGTAAGGACTGATGCTGGCAAACAACAATGGATGCCGAAATAGTATCCTTGTTCTTATTTTATCCACTTAATGGCTTTCGCCAAACAGTAGAACACCAAGTACCAACTTGTAACGTCGGGGATCGAACCACAGACCTTTCGTTCGCTGTGCAAACGTTCAGCCTGCTACACCAGGCTGGTGGGAAAATGTTGAGAAAAGAAACGTGTCTAACCATTAGCATAAACATCCAATACCACCATAGCATGCTTTGGATGGCCGACCTTCAAATTCAACTGCTCAGAAATGGGATGCAGAATTCATGTAGCACATACGACGACAGTTGGATAAGTCTTAGGTCCGGCAGTTAGTTGATAGTCCTATCTGCAAAGTGGTTAGAATATCAATGGGCAATATTATGCCTTAGTATTGCGTCAGTTGAGATCCACGTCAAGGAAAACTCCAAGAAAGGTGTCTACATCTTCAGGACACTACGCTTCTGCCCACCATGTCACAAGTGGCAGCTGATGGCACTGTGCATTCATTCTTTGAATGCCCCTAACCCCATAACTCTACTTTTGAAGCATGCTAACCATGTCGACATGTCAAAAACATGACACAAATATAGTTGATATAAATTAACTGCTGACTTTTCGGCCATAAAACGCAAATTATTTCCATTAATAGTTTTCATTTTAACTTCACCCCCAAGATTTACCATTTACGCGTGTACATTTTGTAGCTCATAGCGACTGTGTATGCAATGGCGTATTTCTGATAACAGCCAGTCCTTAAATATAGACATAGTGTAAATCACACCTGACACAACAGTGAAAAGGCAGACATATTTCTGTAACAGTTTATTGTAGAAGCATCCGCAGTAGATAAAAGTTCAACAACAACAGAGTAACAGCAGCTGTTGTTGGTCCAGGACTGTGGCCAGAAGTTACCGACACTCTTGTGTTGGTGTTGTGACCCGGTTCTACATACAATACACAGTCCTTCAAATCAATGTTAACCATGAAATCCTAGTTACTTCATTCTTAAGGAGGTTTTGAGTCAAACATTACCATAACAAGAAAATTCATATATCTTGTGAATGGGGGGAGTTCAGGGTTAGCATCGCTTTGCACATTTTCCACTTAGAAGAGAAACAGGAACATATTTGGTGCTGACACTTCTATGAATATAATCATGAAAAAACAGAATTTGACTCAAAGCAATAAGGAAGACTTCATGTCATGGAAACCTCTAATATCATTCCAAAAATAGATTTCAAAGATCTTTCGAACACTTTTCTAGTTTATGCTGTACACTGGCATGTTCAACAATCCTGGACCAATAACAATTATCAGAAACTCTGAAAGTGACCAATAAATTCAAATAACAATTAAAAATTCATAAAAATTACATTTGTAAAGATTAAAATTATAAAACTTAAAATTGACACAAACATACATATTTCATAAATAATCTTTACACATTTTTTGTTTTTCTTTAAAAATGATATTAAATAATGACTAATTCCTCTTGCAAATACACCAAAAAGTACATGACAAATAAAAATTAATTGATCTTGATGTGATGAAATTATTCAACTCATTAGGTAAAAGGATAATCTTTTGTCACTTTCAGCGGCACCTCGTCACAAAGGCTATAACATGATAAGATGGGAATGGAAGATGCACACACTAGCACAGACTCTCTATGTACATATTTACATACAACTATATATACAAAACAAGGGACACTAGTATACACTATGATACAGTTTCTAATGTACAGCGTATACACAACTACAGTCAGATCTCATCAGTCGCACACAGTCACATCATGGCAGTCACACAGAGGCAGATCTCCACAGTCAGACAAAGTCTCACAGTAACGACAGCAATCACATAGTCAGTCATACTGACACAGACAAAATGGCACTTTCTAGTAAGACACATGAGGCAGTAAGCACCGATTTGACTTTGTACAATTGGGAAGCAAATGTGCATATGAAAAAAGATGCGGGATCCATCGGTAGGATCTTCAAGTCCATAAGCCTACAACTTGCAGTGATCAAACTAAATGTGAGAGTTCGGGGGACCTTGTTATTACCCCAGGTTAAAGGGTTTGCCACACCCATAATGTCAACCATACACTTTTGATACTATAGCCCACCCCACCCATGTTCAATAGCTAGTGTATATAGGAGCCACAAACTGATGTTATTTAAGGTATCTGCTGAATAGAAATGTTTAGTAACTGGAGGATATCACTCAGTGTGAGACAAAATCAAAGACCACTTGTTTTGAGGGTCAGGAGATAGGAATGCCATAGATACATACAATAAATATAGCACTATCAATAGCTGTCAGAGGAAACAATGAGCATAAATCTCACATAAATAGTCAAAACAGTACATCTTAAATACTTTTTCTACAAATACTCCAATAACATCATTCCCCTACAGCTACTTGGTTGACAACTGAAATGCCCAAGGTTATTCTCTCCAAGCCTAGAGGTCCCTAGTGTAAGTAATGAACCTGGACATAGTGTGACCTAGACTACTGACTTGGCTACTATGCTAATACTATCTCCTGGACTGAGCCGCGGATATAACCGACATTTGGGCCGACTTTCTCATATGCTCCAACACTTGGGGCACCTTCTCCAGGCGTGACTTGACATAGTCAGGTAGGTGGTCGTTTTGGTAAAACCTGAAACATGAAAGAAGTCAGGATTAATGCCAGTCTCAGACAGTATGGACATATTATTTAGTTCAATTTCAGTATACTCCTAAATGTTTCAAAATGAAACTTTTGATTTTACATTATGTCATACCAAGAAAGTATATGGCCATTTGATATCAAATTTAGAAAACTTACAATGAGTAGGTGTACTGGATGTTCACAGCATGTATAGACATTAAACAAATCTGTTAGTGATAACGAATATCAATACCCTCACAAAATGTTGGAAATTCTACTGGCTTTAGTACCCCCTTAACAAAGGGAAAGACCTGGCCCAATTAGAGAAATCCATGTACACTTGTCTGCAGTGAGACCCACCTGAATGTCTTGCCCTGTTGGTCTATGAAGGTGACGGTTGTAGCATTTGACTTCATCCCCAGCTGGGTCCCATCATTGAAATTCACCACAATCTCACCATTTGAATACTGAAACAGGACAAATCGTGTTACAGAGATAGACAGGTACATATATCCCAAAAATTGAAACTCAAAAGTCAAAAAGATCCAAAAGAAGCCCTTGCAATTGTTTCATAAAGAAAGTTAAAGTCCCCTCCCTTAGGTAGACCTACAGACATACTTTACACTGAAAACAGTCCATATGAGCGTTATAACTGTAAAGGTGTTACGATGAGCAACCACTGTTGCTTAGATTCTAGATACAAGGTACATACCTTCTGGCCCCAGCCTATGTTCGGAACAAACATCTGATGGACGACATCCTTGTTGGGCTTCCTGGGATCAGCACTGGTACCTGAGGAAGTGCTGCTGGTTGCCATGGAAGCTTGTGAGGTGAGAGTAGAATTATGTCTATCTCCTGCCGTCAGCCGTGATGTGCACTGACTTCCTGCCTCTGTCACAGCACTTACAACTGTTCCATCAAACGATGTCATCTGAAAAACAAGGACACACTTGTGAAATGCACATTAAATGAAATAATAAACAATCTGAAATCAGATATTATTTTCTCTGATTATGACTTTTTATCGGGTGGAAAATATTTTAATTTAAATTGTGATTTTCTTTACATGTAATAATCCTGGTTTTTGATAATTCTAAAACAACACAGAAATCTAAAAATGTTCATTACTCACCATGGGTGGTGACTTCATCTGAGAACACTTGGTTGTGTCATGGTCTTGAGAAGATCTGGTATCAGATGTGTTGTCACTGGACTTGCTGATGTCCCCCAGACCAGAGTGTGGGCGTCTCCCTACAATGACGGGAACAAATGGTCCTTGCCACATCCCGTGCTCTGCAGGCTGCTGATCACTGACTCCAGCTCCATGCACTGTGTCTGACACTGTCACAAACAACAAATGATGGGTTAATGATTTATTAATGCTGTTATTTTGGTTTTGTTTGTTGTTGAACACAACTATGAGGTCAGTAAATAATCAAATCTGGACAAAACAATTGAGTGATTGACTTCACTGAACAAATCTATGCCTCATCTTCATTTTTTCCAGGCAGACACAAGGACTACTATGAAACTTCTCCGAGGTCAATCCAGTTAAGTTTTCAGTTCTTACAATTTGCTTAGGATCTTATAAGATTAGTCATTACATTTCAAGTTCTGAAACAAGGGAGACAACTGACCTGTTTGACATACACCAGTAAGTCCTTTGTGTCACAACTGAGGTGTTGCTCCATGGCCTGTGACTCCAGGGCTAGTGAGGTGCCATCCCTCTCAATGATCCTCATACCCTTACTGCTGGCTGTGAACTTAGCACCTAGAAAAATACCAAAACACATGACACGTGAACATTGAGATAGAAATCATCCATAGCCACTTCATTCAAACAACAATCCCAACTCCAATAACCTACAGTGAGTGAGTGAGTTTAGTTTTACGCTGCACTCAGCAATATTCCAGCTATATGGCGGTGGTCTGTAAATAATCAAGTCTGGACCAGACAATCCAGTGATCAACAGCATGAGCATCGATCTGCACAATTGGGAACCAATGTCATATGTCAACCAAGCCAGCAAGCCTGACCACCCAACCCGTTAGTCGCCTCTTTAGATAAGCATGGGTTACTGAAGGCTCATTCTAACCCGGACCTTCACGGGCCCAATAACCTACAGTAAACAATGTGTATATTGAACACACACATAACAAACTAACAGATACAATGAACTCATTTGGTGGGCCCAGCCAACTGCTTGTTTTTTAGTCAAAATATGGATAACAAACTACAGTGATAAACTAAAAGCAGTGGTTCCTCTGAGTTCATTATAACGTAGTTTACTGTAAATATTTTAATCTCGTCTTCAAGAACCTCAGGCATATGAAGGTATATGCAACAACAAACAACTGTAACAGAACCAAATGCTTGTAATGATGTTCAAGATACTCTACCATTTCATACAATGTTATTAACTGCTCCTCACCATCATAAAACACAGCTTCAAAGTCTGCGTCAGGAGCATTCTCCATCAGCATACACTTGGCTCGGTGAGTGTACATTGTCACCTTCGGGGTCTTGGACCGGACGAGGTTCACAAACCTGATTCAGGAAGAAAATGGTTAGAAAACATGTTACCAGGTAAGTTAGACATCGCAAATATACATTCAAACATTTTCCGTTCAAAACAACTTGGCATTTTCAAAATGCATGAACTGTTGCATGCTATTATTAAGTCTTAAGTTTTTCCTTGCCATGCAAAACCCCACATCACACAGTCCTACAAATATCGATATATATTAGTTTCACTATAAGTCGGTTTCTGGAGAGGAGTTTACAAATCAATTTACAAAGTAACATTTCTTACTATTGAAAAGGATATATACAAAATTCTAAATCACTATCACTGCAGTTGTCATTACAAACATTTTTAAAAAAGATATCTTACCTTGTAGCATACTGGTATTTCTTGTAAAACTTTTCTGGCATTGACCCATATGCAAATGTTTTGAGCATTTCATCATCTGGTGATGGCGGTCGGTCTGTGACTACAACTCCATGGCCCTCATTAGGTTGGTACACACTGACCTGTATCCATGGTAACAAAACAACCACTGTAACAACACATTCCTTCACCTACATCCACATCCATAGATGAATACAAAGAACACAGTATGTTTCAATTCACTATTTATTCACTTCACACAAACAAAATCAGTTAACAATACCACCCGCTGGTTCTACTGAACACTTTATCACCATATGTGAGAATAAATATTAGCTCCAATGCCACAAACAACATTCAAAAGCTCCCTAGCTTATGTTTCACACCTGGCGTGTGCTGTGTTTAAACACTTCCCCAGGAGAGTTCACACCTCCAGTTCCTCAGCTTAACACACCTTATGTGATGCCCTCTAGTCAGCCCATCTATGTTCATCAACATAGGTGGAGAGGTGTCATACACAATCACCTTCTGGTGGTAGGGGTAACCACAGATGTTCTACACAACTGTAGATACTTAACTGATTGTAAATGCATGAAGTACTACTGTTCATAGGTGGGAAACAACACCACAGGGTGCCAATCACAGTCAAAGGGAGATAATCATCATTATTGTAGGTAATTTAGAAACACTTAAAACTATTATATATATAGCAGTGCTCCAGATAGATATTGTATCGGCTTATCATATTAAAGAAAACAGTCAAAAATGGAGGGATTACATATTACGATCTTATCATGTTTATCAAATATGCTGGAAAACAATATTACAATAAAATAATTTTCTCTACCTGTCAATCATGTACAATAAACCTTATTTTTTTTCCAAAATGAATAATACCACACATATTTGAATGCTCATAAGCCCATTTCTTTATTTAACAATAAATTTCAAATGATCATCATTGTCATTTATTCTAAAACCATGTGGGCATACTTGATTTCTGAAAGGCAGACCTAAACTATTTGTCTGGTGCCCTAAGGCACACTTAGAAAAAAAAGCATATTTCTATCCCTGAGTATATGAAGAACCTTTCAATACAGTATTTGATTTTCATGCTAATACAACATATTTAAGAATGAAAATCAACCTAAAACGAAAAGTTCCATTCCAATTTTTCCAATTTTATATTTTCTTGTAAATTATTACTTCAACCTACCTGACTGCCATCTGCTGAAATAGAGAAGACCTCAACCACTTTCTCCATCTTGTTCTTGTTCTTCAGGAATTCAAGGCACACTTCCCCTGTCTCCAGAATATTCACCTGAAGTGAGACAGAGTAAGCATACTTTTAGCATACTGAGGTATGATCAGATCACACATACCCTTAACAAAGCAAGACAGATGTTATTCTAGATATGAATAAAAAAGATACGGCTATTTAAAGAAAACATCTGCAATGATGGTCTTAAGATACCTGAGTTCACGAAAACTCACATCACTAGATCAATCTAGAATATTTATGCATTTGAACAATCATTAGGATCACATGCAAAATATAATGGCAAAGTTATGTTTGTGTTGTGAAATCACCTTTACAATGTTTAGGGAAACTAAGTGCAACCATGACAGAAATGGTCAACTTACAATAGCATTCTTTGTCTTCTGCCTGATAGGACGTGATCGCTGAGCATTAAGTTGTGAGACCATCTCTGGACTGTGTCGATCCTTCTTTTCACTCCTCTCCCCATATCGATGTGAATCCCCTCGCGGACCAACAAGATCTTGCATCGACTGAGATTTAACACACGCATTCACCTCCTTCTCCGAAATGTGAACCCTCTGTCCGTAAGGGGATGAAAACTCCACAGGTCCGTGCAAATTGGGCATATGGGAGAGCTTCTCCTCCACAGAAGCTGACCTCGAGTACGGACTCTGAACATTTTGAACACACATGCCCTGAGAACCATGACTTGAAGAAACATTCTCAGGTTCATGCAAACTCCCAGGTTTTGAGTCAAACGTCAACACTCGTTTTGTGTTCTGTAAACTGAAGTCTCCATCATGAGATGAAGAGTCGGATCCAGCACTGAGATATGGTTTAACTGACTGTGCAATATCGGCACTGCTGCAGGTGTCAGAGAGTCCTCGGAGCCCTGGACTGGCCGGGATCCTTCCTGTGCTGGAGCTGTGGAAGGAGGCGCAAGACCAAGTGGAAGAACTGTTAGTCTGGGATCCTTCCTGGTAACGGGTGGGGTCAAACAGGTGGGGCACAGGGGTCTTGGTTGGCAACACATTGTCTTTGTGTCTCTTGGAATAGTCTAACATGTTTTCTTGGGAGCTGTACTTCCTGATGATAGGTTTGTCTGTGTGGTGTGGGTGACTCAACACTCGGTGCTGACTAGCAAGGTTGCTCTGACGAGCCTGGTATAGCTCGGCCTCTCGCTCACTGCAAGAATATCACATTCATTACATCACAGACACTATTCAGAACTCTCTCCAAACATTCTGACCTTACACCTGAAGAAAGATCTGGACCCTTTTCATCCCTAAGAACTAAACAACATGCAAATACAATTCAAACACACATCTTATTTATCTGATCTGCAAAATACCCATACAACATTTACACCATGACAAAGTAACAAGAGAATCTTGTCGTACCTGTCTCGAAGCCTGACTGGGGGTGAAGGGGGATGACGCTGGTGAGCTGACTGACCGCCCAGCAGCTGCTGATGACCACCACTGGTGTAACTCCCACTGTCTGAGACGTTGCTGTAGTGGCCATTGCCACAGCGCTCTTCATCCTCCATGATCTGAGATTTGATATCCTTGATGGGGAATGCTGGCATCGGTTTACGGCTACTTGACAAACCTGATCTCCCTGACATTACAGTAGCCATTGTCCCACGACCACTGTCCATCGACACTTCCGGGCACTGCAAAAACATTAACAAAATACATTACAGTTTCTGTTACTACAGTAAATTTGAAACAAGTCATCACTTCACACAAGACAAGAAATCCAATTCTACAAAAGACAAGACATCCACTATTTATTTTAACATAATTAAATACACAACAATAGAATGTTAAGCTTTCAGAAAGTGATACAAACCTTGTGGGCAATTTTCCTGCTGCCTGAAGAACTGTTGGTCATGAAAGGATGACTTAAGAGATCTGAAACATGAGGCACATTTTTGCCTTAAGCATGTTAAGTTTCAAACAGTTTTGAGAATATCTGATCAAACCTCGATCACATTTATCAGTAAAAATCAACAATGTTTAAGAAGCATAAACATGTTTAACAAGTTTAGCATACTCATACTCTTCCATCAACATGCTTGTGTCAGTGAGAAGTCTAGCATTTTTACTCGTGCAAAGGGTCTGGGGATGAAGCACAATGGTAAAATATGTCAAGGCCATTTCTGGTGTCTCCTGCCATGATATTGATGGAATATTGGTGAAAGAAGCCTCAAAATCAACTTATTCCATATCAATGTCCTAAGAATCTTTTGATATACGGAAACACATGAACATCTAATCAACAGCATCCATACCTCGGATAGGGATTCGTTCTTTGGGATTTTTGCGTAACAGTCCCTGAATGAGATCCCTTGCTTCCCGAGACAGGTGTTCTGGCAGATCATACTCTGCTGATATTACACGATTCAGCGTCTTCTTTACAGCATCTGTGTCAAATGGTGGCTGACCCACAAGGAACGTGTACAACATGCAGCCCAGGGACCAAACATCCGCTTCCAGGCCATGTGCTGACCTCATTGCCACCTCTCTGGAAAAGATGTGATGATAGTTATAACATTGGCAGATACAGATACTTGATAGATTACACAAAGATCGACTAAAATTTAACACAAAGGAGAAGCATAAATTTGGTAGTGCTACTCACGGGGAGATGTAGTTCGGTGTGCCACACATCGTGAAATGCTTCTCATCCGGAACACTCAGCTGTGTTGCCAATCCGAAATCTCCTATTTTCTGCATAACAGAAACATGTTCACATTGTTATGATGATACAAACAAAATTGCAAAAATGTCTTTATGTCATGCAAACTGTTCAGTGAAGATTAAGTTATGAATTATAGAATATTACTTCATTACACATACATAAATCTGAAATAATACTAAGTCAGTAAGTGTATAGTTAGATGATATTTTCAGGATATATTTGGACTGATACTATTAAACAGGTCACTAACTTGATTACTTACAACATTCATGTCCTTGGAGAGGAGTAGATTTGACAGTGTGAGATCCCTGTGGAGGATGCCATGTGAGTGCAGGTACAGCATCCCCTCAACAATCTGCTTCATGAAGTGACGAGCTGAAACAAAGCAAATTATCATCATCACCACAATTTTGCCATTTGAGAGGTTCATCAGATAAAGGGGGCAAGAAAACGCCTCTAAATGTTGGAAATAATTAAGAAGTTGTTATTCATAAATGTTGACCCTCTCTATGTTCACAGACAGAATCTAATAAGGCAAACTATTATTTAGTACAGAGCTAGAGTGTAATATATGTATATTTGTTGCCTGTCGCATCTGTAAATATTATAGTAATGTTTGTATACCTTCATCTTCTGTGAGCACTTTACAGTTAGTTTTGAGATATCTTTGTAGTTCCCCATTGTGGCAGATCTCCAGCACCAGATACACATAGTTGCTGTCCTCGAAGTAGTTGTATAGCTGCAGGGAGAGACACATTGCAGAATATAGCATCCAAATATTAAAATTTATTCAAAATAGTTTTTTATTTTTATGTGAAGCAATAAGCCATTTCACAACGTAGCATAGATGAACGTAGCATTTCAACATCTTTTGACAGTTTGTGTACATAAAGCAACAGAATTGAGTCTGTCTGTCAAGAAGAACATGATATACAGATGATCTTGCATCATTGCTCGTGCACCATAAATAAAATAACTACAAACCTCCAATACTGCTGGATGCTTTAATCTTGAGTGAATTTCTACTTCTTTTCGAACCCTTACAACCATGTTGGCAGCTTTCATTAATTTCTTATCAATCTGTAAAACACAACAACATATAATACAGTGATTAGAGAATTTATAACACATGGCACAATTCAAAAAGATGGGATGTTTCATGGAAATATATGTATTCATTTTTTTCAATCATTCAATCATGTGAAACATATTCTCACTATTAAGTCAGTCTGATGAGATTTGTTTATAAAGTTATGTCAACTATAAACTTATGCAGAAGTTCCATACATTATGATGCAGACATACATTTCACTGTAATATTGTGAATGGTTCATCAATCATCATGTCAATTGAAATGATACTGAAAACCTTACCATTTTTATGGCTACTTCTTGTCCTGTCTTATTGGATCTTGCACGGTAGACACATGCAAAACCCCCTTTGCCAAGGAGGTTCAAGACTTGATAATCCTGCATAAGCAAAATAACTAGTGAAAATCTAAAACTGAAATGAACACACTAAGCTAACTATAATCAGTATTATTGGTTTACATTGCAGTTATTTAAGTTATTGCAATATTTTCCATCAAAAGATAAACGTCTTGACACCTAAGCAACAGCCATGGTGGCAACCTATACATGATAGTGAACATAGGTGATCACAGGTCCATACTTGAAAAAATAATTTGATAACCAAAATCACAAATTGAGTAAATTAATATAGTTGGTGGAAAAATTATTCACCATGACAACTGTCATAAAAAAACTATGCCTTATAAGACTGACGCCATAACAAAACGTGGACCCCAAAACATAAACAAAATACAAACAGTCGTAAAATTCAAAGATGTCTAATTCGTAAATGTTCACATTGAACCTACAATTAAGCTTTAGAAGAGACAAAAACACAAACCATGATCATCTTGCTAGGTTCAAATGAAATACAAGTGTAGAATAATGTGTGACCATCAGCAGATTGCAAGATATGGGTCCAAGGTATGTGTTTGTAATCCGTAAGTCTCAAGTCATACACATGTCATATCCAAGTTCCGTTTCGAATGTAAACAATCTTGTCGCGGCTAACATCGAACATACGAATGTCATCGATGTAACTCCAACGGCATCCAAGACAGTTATGTCCACAAATCAGATGTGATCATTTGTAATATAGGTGAGGGGAATCGATCACCAAACATTCCGCTATGTGTCGGGAAACGGCTTAGGATTAAGCCTCATTAGCGCTAATACGTGATCAGACTTGCACAATGCAAATTACCTCCCTTGTTTCCAATTCCAAAAGATCAACAAGACGAACATACCTCGATATTTTCCGTCATGGTTGGTTATCCCGTTAGATCTATTATCTTCCCGAACCACAGTCAGTTATCCTAGGTGACCATTCTGTAATAGGAATATTTTCCGTGTAGTTTGTGTACTTTGAAGCATATTTTGTTGTCCTCCTGTTATTCACTGTTTTCAAAATCGCGCCTATCCGCCGACGGATAGTAGGCGCGCGGAAAACATGGCTTCGTGAATACGATTGGATAAAAAAGAGAAGCACTTCATTCTCCTTTAACAATTCTATCACGTATTTATCACTTATTTTCCATTTTTGTATACAAATTGAAGAAATATTTTACCTTATTTGGTGGTCGTTTTTTACAATTTTCATAATTTTACTCGGAAGTGACAAGGTACTATATTCCTTAATACTACTCCAGCTAATTTGAACGAAAAGGTGCTTGAGAAATGTTTGCAAATTTTGTTATATTTAGGACAAAATAAGAAAAAAAACTTTTGAAAAACACTTAATTTAACTTTACTCATTTTCTTTGTTGAAAAGTATTACATGTAAATATAAATATTTAATTCATATGTCCAGAAAAAATTGTAAACCTAAAATTAATCATGAACTGCTGCAGAAATTAACTCCTTTTATCTATCAAAATAATAACAAGAGTTTTTACACAATAAATATGTACAGAATATCAGGTTGGGCGCCATTAGTTGAATATGATTCGAGGAAAGACGCCAGTATCAAACACAGATGGCTAGCGGAGGCAGACGATGGACCCAGAGAGATTAGTGCCTTTCCTGTCATTGACTAATTACCAATAACGACCAGCCATTGTGTCAAACTTACGTTGATATGGTAACGGAACTTGTTAGCGACACCTGTAATTCCTTTGAAAACAGATTGTGAGATTATTGTTAGACAAAAATTAAAGACTGCATTGAGGGATTAGAGTTAAACCTAATTTTATCTATCAGTTTAAAATTAAATGAGCAATTGAGCATGAAATCTCCGATAGCACAGTCAATTACACCCATCGGCTCGTCTACTCAAGTTGGATAGAACACTACTGCCGGAATCACTAATTAGTTCTTTTCTCAATTTGATCTACAACACTGTAAAGATGAATGAAAATACTAAGTCTTTCTCTAATTACAAGGTTTTAGGAAATGATAATTCAACGCTTAAGCCCATTCTACATTTAAGGTCACAACAAACGTACGGTACTTCAAAGGTGCTATACCCGGGAAATGTATTTTGTGAGGATTGCACGCTGAGTTAGATATATTCTTGAAAAGGACGTAATTATTCATGATCAGCAGAGAATAACATTACAGTATAGAACACAGTGACTCAGAGTACATCTTAAGTATCTGACGAGATCCGACAATACACACACAGTTAAATCGCCGTCGACGTCACCATCATCATCGCCATCATCCGCCTCTCACGTACATGTAAATTGTCCAATTTATGTTATTAAAACTGTAAGACGTGTTAACCCAAACACCTCACTTTTTGGCGAAAGGTCCATGAAATAAGGACAATATCCTACCAATAGTTCTAATAAACATACATATATGTTGTTTTTTATTGTCGCCATTGTTATGTGCAGTTTAATGAGGGAAGTTTTGTATCAATTAACACGCTTTCTGTTCTATCATGGGGAAACACATGAAATTATACCCGACGGGGTGCATAGAACTGAAGGCTTTACATACGAAAATCGAAAATTCTGAGAAAAAAAATTAAAATGTCAAAAGTTTGGGGGTTGTTTTTTTGTACCGCCAAAGATTGTTTCCACAATGCCTAAGGGATTTTTGCGTGACTAAACCTGAAGTATTTACAAGGATGACCATGAGTCAACTATATGTGCTATACCTGATATAATATATATACAATGCATTATTTTAGTTTCTGTTCACCTACCGACTATTATTTACCCGTAAACAAAAGACCTAAAGTCGGGTATTACCACGGAATTGTACTGACCGATTTCGTCCGATGTTCTGTATCAAAAAGAAAACAACATATAGACTAATATATAAGGACACCTGACTAGCACTGACGTGTACGTCTTTGAAACGTAACAATTTGAAATACATGTAGCATATTTAACTTAAACATACACACACAGATAACAAATTTCGTGCTTGGAAAACAAATGCTGACTTTGTTATCTGTATGTAGTCTGAGTTGGAAATTTACCATTTCATCTTTGTTCTATGATTTCAAACATCAGACATTTTATTCAATAAAACATCGAAACAAACATGGGTTTAGCATAGCAACGGGCGAGGATTTATCATATATTTTATCAATATTAATTTTAGTATCTCCTATACTTTGTATCCAGAAAACATGAAGAGACTGACACATATCTAGCAGAGTATCCTTTCCGCCATATGCAATGTAACTTATCCTTAGGAATATAGCATGTCATATCTTTCTCTTATGCGCCGAGGCGGTGATTCACGTGTTGTTCGAGAAGTTTCGCCGGGTGCTAGTAAATAACTGAAACTTCGGGAGAACGACAGAAGAGTATAACACCTCGTGGTCATAACATACGAAAGCATACACAGTACCGTCGATCAAGAGAATTTTCACCAAAAAAAGGTGTCTGCCATGGCGGTTGTAGGGATTGATCTTGGTTCATATTCTTCTTACATCGCTGTCGCTCGAGCAGGAGGGATTGAAACAATTGATAATGAGTACAGTGCAAGAATGACACCGTAAGTAGCCGAACGTTACATTAGGAACGACTTTATTAAATATTTTAACTGTTTGTAATTTTCGGCCTCCAAAGTCTGTTTAGTTCTCTCTGAAAATATTGCAGATCTTAATGCCATGCTTGGTGAAAAATGATTAGCACCCATCTTATTTATTTTTTCATTTTAAAAGGAGAAAATACAAGAACGATTTGATGAAGGAAGTAAATTCTAGATCTTTCCATCATTCATGTAGATATATTTATGTTTTTGTTATATTATTTTTCAACTTACCTCAAGCAATATATCCCTGACTTTATGTCAAAACGAACGAAAATTGAAAGTCTTTGAGGGGACTGTACAAAATGTTTATTGAGCCACATATTGTGTCATTGTCAAAGTTCGTACATAAATTAACAAAAAGCTTTCAGTTGTGATTGCTCTTAAAATATATGTAATTAATCATTAAGTTGGAGCAGTGATGAGTCTTGTGGTTCAAGCATGTGCTCATCATGCCCAGACCCAGGTTTGATTCCCATATGGGTACAGTGGGCAAGGCCAATTTCAGATGTCCACCCGCAATGGTATTACTGTTGAACTGGACAAAAATGATGCTTGAATTTTGTCTTATTACCTTGAGACAGATTACTTAACTGTAACAGCTTGGCTCTATCTTCATTTATTACTCATTGTTAGTATTGTATAGGTCAACATGGTTGATGGTCATGTAGTCACCATAGCTGCAAAACAGTGTGAAATTTTCACTGGTCCTGTGGTCCTTGGCTAGTAAAATTCATCAGAACCACTAAATAATAAGTTTGCAGTGGTCCTGGTGGCCAGTGAATTTTGCTTTGATAGTTACTTGAATCTCCGAATGTTATTTTGGACCAGTGAAGGACAGATAGGACCACTAACTACTGTCCACTGACTGGTCTTGTGATAAATTTTGAAAGGTTTCTTTCCCAGCGAACTCATTCCTTTGTTTCGGTTACTGTTGGACAATTACTGATCTAGAACTACAAGTCCCTCAAGCTGATCTGTAATAGAGGCAGTTTCGACATTCGAGGAAGAATATTTACACTCTTGTACCGCAATGTTCCCAGATTATCAATTTGCTGTTATGTAACCTGTATGTTTGAAAAACTTTTGATACAAGCTATGACTTCATCAAGTCTGGTTGTCCTACTTCATTGACTGTTGCAAATTTAGGCAAGAAGAAAGTTTGTTATAATTTATGTGGAGTATTTTATAGCTATGATTTCACTGTGACTTTCTTTTGTAGGACCTATGTGTCTTTCAATGAAAAGAACCGAACTATTGGTTATGGCGCCAAGCAGCAGAGTGTGACCAACTTCAGGAACACAGTAGCAGGTTTCACACGCATTGTAGGACGGCAGTTTGAAGATCCAGCGGTGCAGAGTGAAGTGAATGCTTTCTTCCGACCAAATGAAGTGGCCGCTGACAAGGCAGGGAATGCAGTCATTCAGGTGTGTTATACCTTGACCTACAAAACTAAGGGTCCATAGGACACCAACTACTAGTTTCAAGGGTCCTTGCAGGAAATATGAGGATCCGCTGAAGATATGGTATAGTATACTGAATTGTAAGTGATCAGCAGATACTGCTCAACTAGGAACAACACGGGCAATGATCGCTCTCATTAATGGGCAGTGGGGTAGCCTAGTGGTTAAAGCGTTAGCTCATCACACTAAAGACTAAGTTTCATTCCCCACATTGGTGAAGCCCATTTCTGGTGTCGTCTGCTGTGATATTGCTGGAATATTGCTAAAAGGGGCATAAAACCATGCCCACTGTTATTAATGAATTGGTCATTATATCAACCTGGGCAGTGATTTTCTTCCACAGAAGAACTAAGTGAAGACAGTGACATGATGAAACGCTTAATCCATTCTCTGAGATCACATGACTAAGCCATGGAAACACCGCAAGGTGAGGGATCATGGGTAATCTCTGGCTCCCAGGGTTCTCCTGTGTGTTGGGGTGACCTCATGTGGCCTGTCCGTGGTGACGTCATGGTGGGATGCTCGTGTCCCTCAAGATGTAATTAAGGCTCTGATCACTGCTCACAGTTAACTTAAGTAGCAAATAAAAACTGAATTGTGCAAAAACATCATTATTCAAAACACACAAAGTTCTGGTATCCCCATACTTTCAGCATGAGGCACTGAACTCTACTTGGGAAATGTGTATTAGGTTTTCAGTGGACAGGTTTCAACATTGTTCATCTCCACTCAGCTGTTCATTTTATTGTCTCGGGAGAGGTTTTATTTGCTTTTTACCATAGTAGCAAGTTTGAACCTAATCATGGTGTGCCCAAACTAGATCAGCACTCCATTCCACTGGTGACTTGGAAAGACTAAATGGCATATCACATAGGTGGATGTACATGTAATTGAGATCCAAGGATTATATATGTGATGATTTCATCAACTGTGTGTTTGATTAATAGTCAAGGGTGGAAATAACCCATTGCCCGACGTCCTAGTCCAGTGTTTTTTTCTGTCGGGCAAGCAAATTTGTATATCACACTGTACCGGTGTCCAGTTGACTTTCCATTGTTAATTATGTTGGGTTTTTTAAAAAATCAACAAGAAAAGGGACGATATAGTGGAAACATTATCAGGGCAAGTGATTTTACATGTGCCACTGTACCGGAGTACACTAGCAATTATTTCCACCCCTGAATAGTGGATGTTTCATTCTGTTGTTGAAAACATTTCCTTGTGTATGTTTGTTAAGATAGTGAAAATGTTTAAGCAAATATAACCTGTTTGTGAGGCAGTAGTGCCTGTTCTACAAGTCACACAGGCTCCAGGACGACCATCATTACAGATAGGTTTGTCCTGGGAAGTTTACACCAGCACTTTCTAAAGTCTCTTGCTATGGATGTGAAATTAAGGAGTGGTGTATGTTTTGGGGGTTTTTAAAGGGAGAGGGAGTTGGAACAGCTGCAAATTGTCCAACATGGGAAATGGCTTGAGCCATATTCACAAGACATTTCTGTAAATCTGTAAAGATGGTTGGGGACAAAAACTGCTGAACCAAGCAGGTCAGAAAATGCTGAGGTCAGATATGTCATGACAACCACACAACTTGTCTTCTAAAATAATCTTCTAAAATCTGCAAACCTGCTCAAAACTTATCTTAATTACTTGATTTTATGTGGAATTAGGAAATACAGATCCCTCTAGCACCATGTGTAGTGTAGTAAAGTACAGTTTTGCCTTGACCTATTGTAGCAGGGTTCGAAATACTCCATATTTTAGTGTGCCATGAAATGGCACAGATAAAAAATGATCTCTGTGCCCTTTTGACACGCCTAATTTTCTAGAGACATAACTCACATTTAGTCATTTAATCCCCAAAACAATTATTTTTTTCCAAAACTGAATAATACCATACATATTTAATTGCTCATAAACCCATTTCTTTATTTAACAATAAATTTAAAATGATAATCATCATTGTCATCTATTCTAAAAACATGTGGGCATACTTGATTTCTGAGGAGCGATGGGGTAGCCTAGTGGTTAAAGCGTTGCTGGAATCCGGGTTGATTCCCCACATGGGTACAATGTGTGAAGCCCATTGCTGGTGTCCCCTACCGTGATATTGCTGGAATATTGCTAAAAGCGGCGTAAAACTATACTCACTCACTCACTTGATTTCTGAAAGGCACACCTAAAATATTTTTCTGGTGACACTTAGAAAAAAAAAAGTCTTTCTATCCCTGTTTTGAATATAGTAAAAGCAGCTCAGCTTGCTAAGTAATTACTTGGACTTGATTCTGCAGGAAAACTTTTAGAAGGATGCTATGATAAAAGTGTGAGCTGCTTGAGTCATCTCATGTATCAGGGCTCCAGATGAGGGCCGTATCGGTGTATGTGCAATAATACGGTAGGATATAAAATATGCACAATAAGGTAGGAAATAATTTAGAAAACGTAGCAGATGCACACCACAGCAATGCTGCACGGTCATAGAATCATTTACAGACGAAACACAAGATTACTGATCCGCCATTAAATTCCATTCAGTACTCAAAATGTACTCTTAAGGTTTTCCATTACTCCTATATTGAAAAAATAAGCAGTATGTACTCCTGATGTTGAAAAATTATCTGGAGCCCTGATGTATGCATCAGTATTACAGTCCATCGTCTTGATATCACCTCCACTTTCTTACCTGGGACACCTTCAATTCACAGCTTTGAATTTAACAAAACTATAAATTCATTAACAGGGCAAATATCTTGTCAGTAGATCCTGGTCATGGGGCAACTTGGGCAATGAACTTTTCTTTATTACTGATGAATTTGTCATTATATCAACCCGGGCAGTGATTTTCTATCACAGAAGAACTAAGGGTAGACAGTGACATGATGAAACGCTTAATCCATTCTCTGAGATCACATGACTGACCCATGGAAACACCGCAAGGTGAGGGATCATGGGTAATCTCTGGCTCCCAGGGTTCTCCTGTGTGTTGGGGTGATCTCATGTGGCCTGTCCGTGGCGACGTCATGGTGGGATGCTCGTGTCCCTCAAGATGTAATTAAGGCTCTGATCACTGCTCACAGCTAACTTAAGTAGCAAGTAAAATCGGCAAAGTGTAAAAACATCATTATTCTGAACACAAAGTTCAGGTATCCCAATATCTTCAACATGAGGTTCTGGTGACCACTTGGGTAATTTGTATCAGGTTTTCAGTGGCCAGGTTTCAACTTTATGTTCATCTCCACTCAGTTGTTTGGTAATTCATGTTACTGTTAGTAAACTTTCTGTAGTGAGAGAAGTTTTTGCTTTTTGCATATCAGCAATTTTGAAGCTATTCACGGTGTTCCAAACAAGATCAGTCAGCTGTTCATATTTGAGGCCATATAAGGGACTATAGACTCCACTATAGTACTGTCGGGAAATAGAAAAAAACTGTATTTTCTCATTTATCTCTCCAATTTATGTAGTTGATATGTGAAAGTGTGAAATATCTGTTAAACTAAGTTCGGCCTAACTACAGTCTCAGTGGTAGAGAGATAGGAAACGGAGAAAAAGGACTTTACTGAAGGGAAATTAGTGCAGAAATTAGCAATGCGGAACAGACCATGGCTTTATGCAAATAAGTGTGCGACGATATTGTTTTACAAAGGACACTTGTTAAATGCCCAATTTGAAGTTAGACGTAGATTATGAACGATAGCTGAAGTAAAAAATAATAACTTTTATGCCGAAACTATTAAGGATGTAGCTACCATGCAGTCTCACTGTCACTATAAAAAGAAACAGATAGGAAGGGTCGCCTCAAAAGCAAAACCTGGGGTCGGGCTTGGGGATAGAGATATCAGCTAAGATAAGATAATCCTTTAGGGCAATTATACTGGGGAGGTACACGGCACGTCATAACAATTTACAAATAATATCCAGTCCTGTCGATCTTCGGGTGGTCATGCCACCTATGTACTACAATGCGTTTCTATGGTTTTCGGGTATCATACTCTCTCTTACATATCTTAACATAAACTTTATGAAAGAAAGACACGTAAGATGTTAATCAGTAGATGAGACATAGTCAACACACATGAAAAAGCACAAAATATCTTTGAGATGACCCCTTGTGCCTGTAGGCAGCACATGCATTTTTATGCCAGGAGAGTCTTGCCCAATTTTACGAGTAAACATGCTTTTCTGGATATCGTACTACGCATCCCACTGAACACCCAGTTAGGCCGAAGTGGGTTATTTAGACATATGCTATTGCAATTGTGTCAATTTTAGGGATACAGAGTAACAGCCTAAAAACAGTTTTTTTTCTATTTCCGACAGTACTATAGTGACCTCTACCTTGTACCTTGCTCTATACTGTTGAACCTTTCATAGGGGCCTATCTATTGTAAGTTAAACCAAATTATTTCTTGGTATGTTGGTATGTGCAAAAGTTTAAGGATATTTACTACTCAATAGAAGTGAAAGACCCCCCAGTTCTGTCATATTACTACAGTTTACTCTACAAACATAGCATGCATATGATGGTTCTGACATCTCTTGAGGTGTTTTTTGCTATGGGAATGATGATCAAATAACCTTCTGTTAAATCCTATAAGTCAAAACTTGGTACGCTATTTATATTAACTAGTTAACTGATGTTTTAATATATGTGTTTGTGAGCGTAGACCCAGTTGCTTTAAGGAAGGCATAGAATAAACAAAATGTAAGTTCCAAGAATAATTCCTTGCTGACCCTTGGCTATGCAGGGCTTGTGAGGTGTTCCTGTGGTGGGCAATCGATACCAGGATTACGACATTGAGATGAAATGAACCATGGCGGACTGGTGTTACATGAAACATTAGCTGTTGATAGATTGAAGAGGTGGCTCTTATTACAGGGGTGTAACTGTATTTACAGACTTTCATTGCCATATGATAGTGCAATACTTTTGTTGATGGGTGTCAATTTCACAGGCACAATTCATT